TTTAGTACTCCATGTCCACTGATATTGAGTCAGACTTAGATATTGATCAGCCAAGTACAAGTAAGAATTAGGCTGCAAGGAGGTTTAGACCTAGAAAAAAATTAAAGACTGCACATGGAGGAGATGCTAAGTGTAGGCCTACAATTCACGACGGTGGTGATATGTCAGCTTGCGCACCCTTACCGGAGGGTGAATGGTCTGAAGACCTTAGTAACTTTCATACAAAGAAGAACTATCATATATATATATATTTATGATATATCTAAGGTAAAATTATATTACGAAACTGGTGTTGTATCTATCTGTGTTTGTTTGATTGTCATTTGTGTCAAAAACAACATAAAACACAACACAACTAGCCTTAACGAACAACAATGAACAACGACATGTTGATTTCATGTTTTTATTTTTTGTCAAAAATTGACCATTTTTCAAAAAATCGTAAAAAACAACTATAGCATATATTGAAAAGATATTTGGAAGATTACATTAAAGCATGTAAATGCACAGCACACAAAATTTCCAATCCTTAAGTACAACAGTTTTTGAGTTACAATTGTTTTGAACACTGTGAAAACCCTGGCAGACCACCGCTGTTGAGGCTCCGCGGGCCTGGCAGTTGAAAAGGTTCAAGAGAATTCTGTTGGCAGCATGATAGGCCTAATAATAACAATGCAGATTATGCATGTCATTTTGAACAAATAAAACAGAAACGGAATTGAATGCAAATTTACAATCTGAAGGACAATGTAATCTCTGAAATTACCCACCAGTGCAACGATCAAAGAACCGGCCTGAAATGGACAAAACCAAAGGCACAGAATGTACTCCAACGATCTAGAGGCTACAGTGGCACAGAATGTACTCCAACGATCTAGAGGCTACAGAGGCACAGAATGTACTCCAACGATCTAGAGGCTACAAAGGCACAGAATGTACTCCAACGATCTAGAGGCTACAAAGGCACAGAATGTAGCCTACTCCAACGATCTAGAGGCTACAAAGGCACAGAATGTACTCCAACGATCTAGAGGCTACTAAGGCACAGAATGTACTCCAACGATCTACGACGCTGCCATGAAGTAAGAGAGAGCGTAGACAATGGAAGAGGGGTTGAGACACAGGGCAATGTGAGAGTAACAGTTATAAGGTGTGAAAATGTGTATTTTTAGCCTTGCCAGCTCTTTATCTCTCTTTTCATTAGTCCCCGCCTGCCGTTCCCCCACCTCACCTAGGCCTACCCACAAACTGTAGAAACCTGTTGGATCTACCCACCAGTAGGCTATGGTGGCTGGCTGATTTTTTTGTTTTTTGTCACAACACGACTGGCTGTAATCACACACGACACACCACGATGCGATGACATCACATCATACCATTCATAACCTTGTGCTTCAAATTCAAGGGGAGCTAAGTAAGTCAGTCAGCCTACAATTTAAAAAACCCAACACGTTACAAGATTCGCTGCGCTTCGAAGTGGTGGTGGGCACCCATATTGCCTTGTGCTTCGAATGTCGAATCGTGCAAAGGGAGCTCAGTAGGCTATGATTATGATGCAATGTCTCCCGCTGCCCTAGTAAGCGGCGGTCTATTGAGTGCATCACAAGTGACTTTTGCAGGCATGTTTTATAACTCCTGCTGGCTCCTGTTATCACTCTGTCCTGAAATCATTAACTTGAACGTAACGTTGAATTTACCTCAGTGAATTTAGATATTTTGTTGCTTTAAATTTATTACCGGTTGAGAAAAATTAATAGAAATCCATGTGGAAAAAAATCACACTGAGTTCAAATGGCTCTGCCATGCTTGGAATATCTGTGAATAGTGCAGACATCATAAATGTCAAATATCTGTGAATAGTGCAGACATCATAAATGTCAAATATCTGTGAATAGTGCAGACATCATAAATGTCAAATATCTGTGAATAGTGCAGACATCATGAGTGTCAAATATCTGTGAATAGTGCAGACATCAAGAGTGTCGAATATCTGTGAAAAGTGCAGACATCATGAGAGTCGAATATCTGAATAGCGCAGACATCATGAGTGACGAATATCTGTGAATAGCGCAGACACGAATGTCAAATAGTGAGATCGAATGGGCCCAGCTCGACTAGAGATCTCTAGATCTAGATATAGCCTAGATAATCTATCTTTAGATATAATGTAGATCTAGGTTCTAGATTCTAGATCTAGATTAGATATAAGTTTAGGAAGAGGCTAGCCGTACTTACTGACGGATAGATGGTGAGGCTAGCCACTTCGATAATTTTAATTCAGTTTTGCTAAATAAGAAACACACTACAGGGGCACTAAGTGGTAACGGGACCGCAATTGTACAGGAGTGCCGAGTTGATTTCTTAGGGCTAGGGTGAGTCCAGAAAGACCAGCCGTCCATGTCTAGAACTAGATGCAGTTTTATTTTTGGCCCATACCAGTGGGCTTGAGCAGATACGTGTACGTTACACGTTAGTCTTAAGTTACTGATGCTAGGTCAGAGGAAAAGTTACTGTCCATGAATGGTCTGCTGCACACTTCAGCCATGAATGGTCTGCTGCACACTTCAGCTGTGTTTGTCAGTTCCAATTCTATTCTTAGAATTATTCGACTCTATGATTCTTCATCCTTGCTTTTCTCCTGTCCACAAGGAGTAAGTCAACGCTCCCTGCTGCGCTGATGACCGTCCTTGGCACACATGCAGTAGGTCATGTCAACATGCCTCCTTGTCTTACCAGTGCAGGAAATCAGGATAATTCAGTTGCTGTTTCTTTGCTCTTTTGCTACAGAACACCAAATGCTGTACACCTTGAAAAAGTTGAGCTTTTCCTCGTTACAGTGGTGGAAGTAGTTTGTGTCTGAGTATTTGGAGCTAGAGAATTGCTGCGGAAAGCGAAGCCCCTCGCGGTCGGAATGCGAGGTCAGCCAGTTAGAAAATGGACACCCATGCATTGGGGAATGATTCGCGGAAAGATTGATGATTACATACTGTCTTTTCATTGGCAGAGAACTGTAGAGCTTTGAACAGGATTTCTTCGTGGTATATTTTTCTCTGAAGCAGGCAAGAGCCAACTTGCATCTCCGCGACATTGCATGGTTAGGGTTAGATCTAGGAGTAGAAATCTAATCTGTGGAACATCGGTGTACACAGACTGGACATTGTTCCATAGTCGTACAGACACCACGTTCAAAATGTACACTTTTTCTAGCTTTGTTGTGCTTCAGTGTTTAGGTTCATTTAGAACTGGTGACTTACGTACAGCTATTGAGAACATACAAAATTACACCCCCCCCCCCCCAGCCCTTCGTGACCCAAAAAGGGAACAATCAGCAATGTGGTGAGCCAATGGTGTGAGCCGCCACTGTAATCATCATGCATTGTTTTTGACATTGTTTTTGACATGCTATCATTCAGCAGAATCTTGGTGGCTCCAGCTATGTTAGCCGATGTGGCATCAGACACTGACAACCCCCTTATTGTACGTCGTGCCCTAAAAATAGGCAGTAGGGAAAAAAAGTCTAGGCTATGATTGGCTCATATATGTGTCATCTGAACACTTGCTCATTCTTGCTATTGATGAAACAAAATAGTCACCTATCTTGAAAAGCATGTGAGATGTTTGCCAGTGAGCGGGCGGGGCCCAGTGTCAGAGTCGGGGGTAGAGTCACCAAGGACTGGTGGTATTCATTCTGTCTTCAACAAGGACTGGCGGTATTCATTCTGTCTTCAGTCTTCAACAAGGACTGGCAGTATTCATTCTGTCTTCAGTCTTCAACAAGGACTGGCGGTATTCATGGGCGATACAGCCCCGGGACCGGATGACATCCACAACAAGATCATTAGACACTTACCCTCAGAAACACTCACACTCATACTACACATATACAACGACATGT